CGGCGCGGCCGGAGGAGGCGGCGCTCCCCGGCGGGGCGGGCGCAAGGCCGCAGCTGCTTCCCGTACCGCCTAATAAGGCCGGGAGCGGCGGAGCGGGCCCCGGGAGAGGCGGTCTGTTTGAGAGGAGGAGGAGGAGGATCCTGCTTCGTTCCCCGGGCAGGGACCGCCGGCGTGCCCGCCATGGGCAGGAGCGTGATGGAGGGTCTCCCCTTCCCCGCCTGTCAGGCCGCCATGGGCCTCGCTGTACCCCGTCCCCCTCCTGCCGGTGCCTGGGGCACCAGACAGCCCCTCCAGCAGCCGTGGTGGTCACCCACTCGCCCCCGGGCCTGCGTGCCACCCCGGAGGGGGTTTGTACGATGGTGGTTCACATGTGTCATGAGTCTGCACGGCCCCAGCGGGGCTCTGCAGGAGCTGCCGACCTGCCCAAAGCCCATCTCCCGGCAGGGCTTTGACCCAAGGACCGTTCCTCTGGAGAGGGTGCCCCTGCCCTCTCCTCATAGCCCAGGAGCCAACGTTGGCTCGGCAGCCATAGAATCATAGACTCACATGGGGTTGGAAGACCCCATCTGGAGATCATCTGGTCCAACCCCCCTGCCAAAGTAGGTCCACCTAGAGCAGGAACAGGAACTTGCACAGGAACTTGGCCAGGCGGGTTTTGAACGTTTCCAGAGACAGAGACTCCATAACCTCTCTGGGCAGCCTGTTCCAGTGCTCTGCCACCCTCACAGTAAGGAAGTTCCTTCTCACGTTTAGGTGGAACTTCATAAACTCAAGTTTGTGCCCATTTCTTCGTCCTGTTACTGAGCACCATTGAAAAAGACCTGACCTGTCCTCCTGCTACCTTCCCTTTAAGTATTTATGCGTTTATCAGATCCCTCCCCTAAGTCTTCTCAAGACTAGAAAGACCCAAGCCCTTCAGTCTCTCGTAAGAGAGATGCTCCAGGCCCCTAATCATTTTTGTGGCCCTCTGCTGCACCCTCTCCATATGGGACATGCCTGTGCCACGTGGGACAGAAGCCAGGGAGGGCAGAGGAATTCCTGCCCAGCTTCTGGGTGGCACAGCCTCCCAGATGGCACAACCCAAGAAGCCTTTCCTCATCCCCAGGCTACACCCTTGCAATCGAAGCTCAGCCAGGTTTGCAGCACAGCTCTGCCCTCACCTTGCCCCTTTTATCATCATTTCAGCAGCTACAAAATCACGCCCTCTAAAAGTAGCCTGTGAAATGCTCCCTGGAGATGAAGAATTACACGGTGGAGAGCAGCCCCATCACATCACTCGGTGGGGCTCAGACATGATGTCAGCAAAACATAACTCCCTCTGCCCAAGACACATACAAAGCAATACATTTTCCCCCCTCCCACCCAACTAAAAATGCATTGTATTTATAAAGCACATTTCCTCCATGTACTTCTTTTTTTTTAGCCAAGCTTCAGCAGGAAAGATTGTTTTTACACAGTGTACAGACAGAAATACTCCATCCAGAGCGGTTGAGAGCCGGCAATATCACAGTGAGGCTGAAATATAGCTGTGGCTCAGCTCTCCGAGCCAGCCTAGCTTTTACCCCCTGAAGAATTTACTTCCAGGCAGCTATAACTTATTTCTTTCTTTTCCCCCAAATCAGGGGTTAAAAGGAAGATGAACCACAGGTGAGAACAAGTCATTAACTGTCCAGGTGATTTCACTGATGAGGAGAAAAAGTTGCTCATAAAAAGGTTCTCTCCCAGGAGTAGGGTCAATGGTTTATGTGACTTGTTTGCCTTTTGAGTGCTGGTTGCAGCAAAGCCCACCTTTTTGAAGGTAATGGGATATATTTTTCATTTATAATGCATAATAAAAGTTTGGGGGTTGCTATGAACTTTATGTTAATTTGTAACAGCTCTATTTGTAGCACAGTATGTCTGTTATGTAATCAGAATGTGAAAAATATTGCCTGATAATAGGGATAAGGGGTTATGGTTTGGTTTGCTTGGATTTGATTATGGGCTGGATTTCTTTTGTTCCTCCTGAATCTTATTTTTATTTTTCTTATAGCTTTAAATTTCTCTATAAAAACCTAAGCAAAAGATCCACATATTAATTTAGTAATGGATGTTCTTTGATATTGCAAACAGCTGTGCTGGAAGCTAACTGTACTATTTACTTATAAATTAGAAATGTTACTTCAATTAGTATTTTTGTCACTCTAATTGTAAAAGTATTCTAACTGGACTGGATTACCTTAATCTTGAGTAAACAGATAGTTATTTCTGTTCTCCAGTCTGCATTGTGCTGTCCAAGTCAATTCTTCCTTGTTCTGGTGCAGAGCAACTCTAGTATTCTTATAGCAGCCAGAGAATATCCCATGGGGAATTTATTTAGAACTTTGTTTGAAAACCTCTTGGAGTATTTTGGACCTAAGATGCTGTGGGCTGCAGGAATTTTTCAATTGTTAGATTTAAAATGAAAGACAGAATTAACTTGATAATGGAAGAAGTTAGAATACAGATTCCTCTTGGAAAAAGAGGCAGGCTTGGACTAAAGTTAGCTGTCAGGTAACAGTGTCAGTGTTTAAGAAAACCTTGTTGAAGAAGACCCACTGTGTCTCAATCCCAAATACATTCCAAGCATCAGGGAAAAGCCTCTTTTCTTTTAAGCTCTTTTTATCTACTTGAGAGGTTGCCAGACCACTCTGGTTTTATGAGGCCTCACTCCTAAAAAGTAGGCTGTAAAGGGGTAGTAGCTAAAATCTTAGCTCTGCTATTAATGGACTGTGGGGTGTGGTGCTCTCTTTCCTCAAGGAAAGAACAAGCTTTCGTCTTCATGTAGAAGAGCAGGAAGTGTAACTTGCCTTTCTGTCATCTCCTCTAGCTATCAGATAACTGTAGCCCAAGCACGTGGGTAATTTGAAGACCTTCAAATCTCTCTCTTCTCCTGTCACAATGTCTGGACGTGGAAAGAAACCTACAGTGGTTGCCAAACCAGGATCTGCACAGAAGAGATCCAAATCGGGCAGGGCTGGTCTGCAGTTCCCCGTGGGTCGTGTCTACAGGCTCCTTAGGTTGGGGAACTACGCTGACAGGGTCGGTCCTGGTGCTGCCATCTACCTGGCTGCTGTCCTGGAGTACCTGAGCGCGGAGGTCCTGGAGCTGGCAGGGAATGCTGCCCAGGAAAACAAGAAGACCAGGATCCTGCCCAGACACATCCAGCTGGCTGTGAGAAATGATGATGAACTGAACCAGCTGTTCTCCTCTGTGACTATTGCTCAAGGAGGGGTTATACCAAATATCCTTCCCCACCTCCTTCCCAAGAAAACTACTGGAGGTGCTGCTCCTTCACAGCAACAACATGGTAGCCAGTGAAACTTGCTTTCCCTTGTCTGGTCTGTGCACTTACGGATGATGGGAGGACTCAGTAGCACTAATTTATATACGTTTGCTTCTTTGTCAACTATTTTTCTTGTCAATGTTAATGCATTTTTTATAGCTTGCAATAAAGTTCCTAGGATGCAACACGGTTCTCCTTTCTGTTTTCAGGTCCCCTTCCAGGGATGGAGGAACACAGAAAATGTGTGTGGGGAAAAAAATTCTAGCTTACAAACAGAATAATTATTTTTTTTTAAAAAAAAAAAGGTCAGGTACACATTTACTTTTGAAAACATGTTACAGGTTACTGACTGTTGTGGAGCAGGTAGAAGAATAAAGACACACACACTGCCATTTGGTGAACTTTTCCTCCATTGCAGGTTTATAGTGTGATTAGTTCAGGTTGCTTAACTCTGCTTTAAAAGTTAGTAATCCTCTGCTTTAAAGTCTTCCTGGTGGTAAAGCTGCACTGAATGACTACCTGTCTTTAGACTGCTCCAACATGACACTAAAGCCTCTATCCCCTCTATCTTGTTACAACAACAGTAGGTAGTCATAGCTAGTTTAAAACCTGGTGCAATATTTGTGCTGTTGGTAGAGGTGACTGTCTACCAGTGCAGGAAAACAAAAGTCTCCATGACCAAACAAGCCCCTGGGCCTTTGCTGACCAAGTCATTGAAAGTCTTAAAGTCTTCCCCCAGGAAAAGCACCCAGGGTTTCCTCTGTTCATAGTGGGTGCTGAGGTTTGCTTTTGAACTGGAAACCAGAGATCAGCTGCATTAGGCTGAGTCTGCTCCTGAGGCAGTATCTCACAGAATTCATAGCATCCTGCCAAGAGAAGACCTGATTAGGACCAACTTCCTGAACTGTAGCTGGAGCGTGAACTTTCTATTTGAAAAAGGTCTGCCTGTCCTGGTGAATTTGATCTAGCTCCTTTGTCCCCTTAAGGCACAAGGGGATCAGAGGCCACTGGCCAGGTTTTAAGATGCTGACAGACATCACAGCTGTGTGCAGCTGAATTAATGACTCACTCCAAGCTGGGCTTACACAGAAATGGGAAGATAAGACACCTGATGGAGCAGGCACTGTGATTTCAGGGTGGTGGGTAGCTGGAACAGTCATTGCATGCTGCTTGGTTTTCAAGAGCAATTTGATGAGATCTTGGCTGGCTTGCAATTAATCCAGTGAAGTGAGAAAAAGTGGAGGATGCTGAAGCAATGAGAAGTTAAAATGTCTGAGAGTAGATCTTAGGTTTTGTGTGTGTAGTATAGATGTGCTATATGTAATTAGTCTTGTGCTGTTTATACCTGTAAACAGAAAAAAAAAAAAAAAAATTTAAAGGAGGTACCAGAGAAATGAACATATGAAACAAATTATTTCCTCCATTTGATCATGGCAAAAGAAATCAGGCTTGGGCATAGTTATTGCTTTGGACCAAGCAAAAATCTAAAGGTTTGCAGTAATGGTAGAAGGTTCAAGCAAGGTACTAATTTTGTGCAGTTTTAAGTGGTGCTTACAGCACCCTTTGCTAATCTGGAGAACTGCGTGTCAGTCATCATGCTGATGCTGGATGCAAGTTTCTCCCGTGAGCCTGCTCTGCACCACACCGAACAGACCCTACAAGGCACGGCCGGTGCTCAAGGAGCTTCTAGAAATGCCTTCACCTGCCATTTTGTGTATGAGAAAAGACACGGAGTGAGCTGTGTGACCCTACCTCTACTTACACCCAAAGACAGAGTTTATGTTGAAGTACTGCTCCTATTCAAAAGTCAATTTTTTTAAGTATTTCTTTGATCAAGAACAATCCTGTTCGCTTACGTGTAGCCAATAGTTCAACCCATTTGTAAATTGACCAGATAGCATCGTGATCTGAAAACTCCCCCCTCTGGCTTCACAGTTACAGAGGGTAGATATTTCTTAACCGACCTGCTCAGCAAAAGTTTTTGTTGGGCCAGGGCTCAAGTTTCCATCACTTGTTTACTGAAGAAAAAAAAATAATAATTCAGCTGTCACCACACCATTGACCCTAGAAAGGACGTATTATGCCTTGCAACACCGCTAGGCGTGACTTTGGAATAAAAATGGAGTGTGTGACGGATGGGGATGAATCCTAGAAGAAAGAGAACCCACTGCCAGAGGCACTGATCTTCCCCAGCCTCTCAGCGTGGTCACAAAGCATCCCTTGTGGTGTGCTGGCACCATGAAAGACAGTGGTATAGGTTGCTGAATTTAATTCTTGATGACTGCAGCAAGGTGAGGCGTGCCCCCTTCCAGCTGTAATAAATGAACCGCTAATCAGAGATTCTGCAGTTCTCTATGGCAGTAAATATTAGACATGTTTTCAGAGGACATCAGCTAACAAGGTGCTAAGCACCTCTACAAGGAGTAGTAACAAATTCTTATGCTCTTGGAGACTGCACTGAGTTGTTCTTGTATTGAAACCTTGATTGTTTCTAATTTTGGGTGGCTGAATCGTTGCTCAGCCAGGTGGCATTAAATTATGTAAGAGCTGGTAATGAGATGACTACCACTGTGGAGTTTAAAAGGGATCTGCTCTTGCTAGAAGATGTGGTTTGGGGGCTTTGGGTAGTAGCATTGTTAGAAAAGAGGCTGAGTCAAGAACTCCTTCAGGTGAGGGTTTGTACTCAAGAAATGGCAGCATGTTTTCTTTGTGTTAGATAAACTTCTGAGTGACATAATGTTTCTGTAAGTTCTGTGTTTGGTGTAAGGCTGATTAAGGGGGCTTTTAATTTTTTTATTTACTTGTGTAGGCTATTTTTAAAAGCTGTCCTGTTAATGCCCACAAAAATCTTTTAAGATAACGTTTTATTGTATTTTTAAGCACTTCAATTTGGTATTTGATTTAGGTCCTCCTTGCATCTGGGTAGAGCTTCTAATCACTTAAAAGCAACTAATGATTAAAACTTGAGGGTAATTCTATGTACAAGGGCAGAATTTCTTTGTTTGTTTTCCAGTTGCTTTGAAGAGTGTGCATTGAAAAGTAATTGGTACTATGCAGCGCCAGAGACCTTATGTCAGTAATAAGTGATGAGGCTCGTTCGAATGGGTGCCATACAAGAAGATGGTACTTGTGTATTTATAGTAGCCTGATGCAAAGTAATTTCAGTGTCTGGTTTAAAACAAAGCTTCTCTTCTTCTTATAAGTATTGTTCCTGACTGTGGCCTTGTATCTTCCATCAATAGGTCCTCTCGCATCTTGAAGACAAGATCTACTTGAAGTGGTTTCCAGTAGGTGAAGTTCTTGTCTGTTGTTCTTAGTTCAGTTTAAAATATGAAATTCTAGCTCTGGTGTTCACAAAGTCACTGGAGAAACTGCTTAGGTTCTTACCAGGGGTAAGTTCAATGAAATTTCCCTGCAGGGTTTCTGAACACTTGTAATTATCTTGAAGCCTAGTTTGCTTAACCTTTTTCCTTAACAGCAGTCCTCTTTTGATACTGGGCTAGAAGACCTTGCTCCTTAGTTCTACCTTACCCTTTTGAAAAACTTTGGACATCTAGTCAATGGCTGACCTGTTGCTCTGACTGAGCTTGTAGGTGCCTCTTGACTGGAAACTTGTCAGACTCTCCTAGAGCAGCAGCCTGGCCCCTCTGCTCCTTCAGTCAAAAGTATGAACAACTAGCAAACTTTCTGAGGGGAAAACTGACTTCTAAGGGCATCAGAAAGGCAGTGAAATGAGGAGAATGGAGGGACTTAAATACTCAGTTTCTGTGTCATTTTGATTTGGTTTCTTAATTCTTTCTCTTTTTGCACTAGATTGATGTTAGAATGTCTGAACATGGGAAGAAAACCAGAAAGCTCCTCCTTGTGCCAAAGAAATCCAAATCAGCCAAGGCTGGTCTGCAGTTCCCTGTGGGTCGTGTCTACAGGCTCCTTAAATTGGGGAACTATGCTGACAGGATCGGTCCTGGCGCTGCCATCTACCTGGCTGCTGTCCTGGAGTACCTGAGCGCGGAGGTCCTGGAGCTGGCAGGGAATGCTGCCCAGGAAAACAAGAAGACCAGGATCCTGCCCAGACACATCCAGCTGGCTGTGAGAAATGATGATGAACTGAACAAGCTGTTCTCCTCTGTGACTATTGCTCAAGGAGGGGTTATACCTAATGTTCTTCCCAAACTTCTTCCTAAGAAGACCACATCTCTTAAACAGCCCCGCAAATGTGTCCAGTCACAGGAGTTCTAGCTGCCACAAGGCTCCTGACCTTGTAGTGTTAACACTGGCTTTCTCCACAGCTCGGAGTTTTTCATGCTGGTTGGCATTTTTGGTCTAAACTTGTTTATGTGTACCTGCACATGGCTGACAAGCTGCTAAAGATGGGGTTGCTAGTTAGGCTTCCCTAGCTATGTCCTTCAAAACTAAAAAGTCAACAGACTACTTCTATGAATAAATAAGTGTGCAAAGGACTCTTCCATCTTATTCCCTTCTGTAAAATATTTAGTGCACCCAACAGAAGATTTTCTTTGGCAGTGCAGTTGTCTAAGGAAAACTGTTCTATGGTCTTTAAAGCTTGTGTCTTCTTGTGCGTAGCTGGAATCTCCTTATTCAGTATGTCTAGGAGTCTGCTTCATCTGACCTCTCCAGACCTCATCATGTGCAGAGTTAATTTTTCAGGATAAGTGGATATATCTGAGAAACTTAAACTGTGCTGCCTTATAATGATGGTAACGGTGATGATTGTATCTGAGAAACTGCACTGCCTTATAATGATGGTAACGGTGATGATTTATCTTCTCTAATGCTTGGATATGGTGGTAGGGCTAGGCTGTAACTGCATAGTGTCACTCAACACACCTTGGTCCAAAGGTGATGTTGGAATGGTCCTCTGAGTTTCTGCATTGATGGAGTGCCATCCAGGGACTCTTCTACAGACAGTATATAAAACTTGTCAGTGCTTGAGCCTTAAAGTCTCCTAGAAACTCCTCTTAAAAATGAATCCAAATATAATTTCTACCTCTCTGGTACTGAGAATCTTCGTAGC